TAGAATATTATAGTCTATGATTTCCAATACTTTTGAGATACTGCGTTAAAAAAAAAAAAAATCAATCAGCAGAAGCCGGTTTGGTTCAGTGGTAGAGCATCGATCTGTGGACTGAAAGGTCCCAGGTTCGATTCCGGTCAAGGGCATGTACAATACATTTGTTGCAGGCACATCCCCAGTAGGGGGTGTGCAAGAGGCAGCTGATCAATGTTTCTCATCGATGTTTCTGGCTCTCTATCTCTCTCCCTTCCTCTCTGTAAAAAATCAATAAAATATATATATTTTTTAATTAAAAAAATCAATCACAGGATAATCGGTGGGGTGGGGAAATCAGTATGTACTTTTGGGTGGCAAGCGGCTGGGTAGGGACAATGGCTAAGTATCTGGGATCTGGTGGGGGATGGGCAGGCAGACCCAGGCTCCTGAAGCCGTCGAGAGGTCCAAGAAGTGCAATCAAGGTGTTCTCCGAGTTGCCAGAGCTGGCGTCAGGGTTTGTCCCTATGTTCAAGGAAGTGAAAGCACAGAAGGGAGCGTTGACGGTTTGTGTGCAGAGGGTGTGTGCCCGTGAGCCCCGTAGGACGTGGCAGGTCCGGGTAGGGGCCCAGCTGGGGTGGCAGGCTCTCCTTTGCCCAGCTGGTCACCAGTCTTGAGGGAGTCTTGCGCCCACCGCCCACCGCCCACCGCGGGATAATGCACCAGGTACACGCTCCCCTCACCCTGTCCGGCCAGGCTGGCGTGACTCCCCGCCGGGCCCCTTGCTTTTCACCAGCCTGTGCTTCCTTTTTCCCCTGCACATCCGGAGCTGCTTCCCCACCCCGTGCCCGGAGCTCTGTGGCCTGGGCCTCAGGGAGCCTCAGCCTCTCACAGGGAGGGGTGGGTATTAGACCTTCCACATTCTTAAAGGGACACGTGTTGGGGTGGGCAGTGTGACTGAGAGGCTAAAGGGAGTGTGTTTGTCCTGGACCCCAAATGCCTACCCAGAGGAAAAGCCAGGCTGCGGGCTCAGAGTTAAGGGAGGGGCTCCACACCCCAGGGCCTGCTTCTGAGGGTCCAGCTGGGGACAATGAGGAGAGCGAGAAAAGGTTTCTTGAGCCTGTGATGACCTTACCAGCTCTGGGGTTTAGAGTTTGGAGGTGTGCTATCTTTCTGGCAAATCCCCCACCACCATTACCCCACACTTAGCGGGGGAGGGGTGGGGGGAGTCGGGGGACAGAGAGAGGTAGGGGTCATGACCTTCAGCTTTAGGTGGAAGAACTCTGGGACATGAAAGAGGTAGAGGCTGGCATGGCATCTCCTCAGTCTGTCCAGGAATCCACACTGGCACCCCCTCCCTTCCAGGCCCTGGAACCTGATCCTAAGATCTGGGGTGGGGAGTGGGGGGGGAGGGGGGTGTATTATGGATGAGGTATCTCGCTTGCCAAGTTTCTGGGGTTCCTGTCTCCTCTTCCTCTTTCCATTACCCCCTTCCCCCTCTGCCTTCCTTGTGCATAGTGGGCACCTAAGATGCTGAACACAATGACTCCCTTTTCCCTGGACTTGAAGGAGCAGTTGGTCACTGCCCATTGCCCAGGCTGTGGGACAGCAGCCCATAGTGTGCTGAGATTCCTGACCCAGGACACAGGCCCTATTTAGGAATTAGGAGGTCTGGGAAGAGAGGGCAGTGAGAGGGGACTTGCAGGATCAAACGCTGTATGCCAGACCATAATGAAGTCTTGTTTGTCCCTTTCTGCACAACTTTGTCTCCGTCTCTGTCTCTGTGTTTATCTCACTGATTTCTTTTTAACTGTTTTTTTTTTCTTGTATCTTTCTTCCCATGTTCCCCTCTGTCTGTCCTCTTCTTTGTTCATTCTCTCAGTTGCTATGTGTGTCTCTATCTTCCTCTCTCTCTCCCCCTGAGGATCTCCCCTGCCTCTCTCAGTTCCCTTTGGTTGTCTGTCTCTCGCTATTTTGGTCTTTTCCTATGTGTACATGCCCATGTCACCTTCTCTCTCTCACTCCCCTCCTAGGCTGACCATAATCCCTGGCTCTCTTCAGCGACGAACGGCTCAGCGGGGCCTGAGACGCAGAGGCAGCTGCCAGAGGTGCTGAGTGGGGCCTGGGAGCCACCTCGAGAGGACGGGCTGCCTCTGGTCACTGTGATCATCGCTGTCTTCGTCCTACTGGCCGTCTGTATCGTGGTGGCGGTCCACTTTGGGCCAAGTCTACACCAGGGCCGTGCCACTCTCCCCACAGAGCTGCCAGCCCCAAAGCCAGAGGGTGGCATCTCCCTCATCCACTGGCGAGTGCTGGGCTCCCAGGACATTCATGGAGACACCCAGCAGGACCCTCCTGTCTCTGGCTCCTGCCTTGTGCCTGATGGGCCCAGGTTCAGCATCGACGAAGTCACGTATCTGTAGGAGGAAGACCTTGGAAAGTAGGCCAGACTCGGTCAGAACAAGGAACTGGACGGAGAATTGGAGCATAGACAAACTGGGGCCTGGGCGTCTGATCTTTGGAAGCGCACACATTGACTAAGCCGGAGCTGCCCTGACGGCAGAATGCAGAGAGAGCCTCGATGTGGACAGGGGAAATAAAGGAGCTTGAGGGCCCTGCCCAGACACACGGTGCTGTGAGCATTCCAAGTGCCCTCACAAAGCTACTCCATCCTCCTCAGGGACCACCAGACCCCTGAGCCTCCTTCTCCGAGTCCCTCCCTCCTCCCATCCCTAAGCTCCTCTCCTTTGGGTGTCAAGGTAAGTCTGGCTTGAAGATACCCCGCCCTAGCCCTGTGAAGGGATGCTAGAGGCTCCCTGCAGAGGCTCTGCTGCCCCAGCCCCCAGGTCCTGTGAGGGCCAGCCAGAGAGTAACCAAGGCAAAGAACCCAGGGCTCTGCCTTCCCTGGGACTCAGGGGAAAGAAGGAAAAGCTGTTGCCCTTCACTGGCTGAGGGACATCCCTTTGGCTGTCAGGGCCCAGGACTTGGTAACAACGTTCAAGGCCCTTGTAAAGCCCCAACCACCAATGATAGCTCCCAAATTGTTTTTGGGTGCCCTCCACTATCTTGGGCTGAGACTCTCTGTCTTGCCTTCCCATGATGCAATGGGAGAAATCTGGGAGTTCTCATTACCTCCTACTTTCTGTGTGCATGGGCCTGTTGAAACTAGCCTAGAATTTACCCCAGGAAATTCCCCTGGTCCATCTGATAAGAAAACAGGGTAGGAAAGGAACTTCGTGGAGCTTTAATAGAGGAAGAAAGGAGTGAGGAGAAGGCCTACGGGGGGAGAGACAGGGGGAGAGACGTGGAGGTTGGGAAAATGCAAGAGGCCAGGAAGGCAGCACTGCGTCTCCCAGGGGCTCCCTGGAAAGGTACCTCTTTCTCTGGCACCTGTGGCTCCATCTATGTGCAGTCAGTGAGCTGCAGACAGACATTCATGGAGGGACCTCTGGGTGCTTTGCCCTGGGGTTGCCCACTGTCAGTAAGGCTGGGAAAGAACAGGAGACAGAGGAACAGACTTGGAGATTATGTGCGCAGAGGACTGACTTGCCACCTTTGGGTTAATGAGAAGCAGTTATCATCCTAATAGCTATTCCTTCTTGAAGGCCAGCTATGCACTTGGCACTGGCTTCCTCGCAGGTATGCCATTCACTCCTCATAACAACCTTGAGAAGAGAACCATTGTTATTCCCATTTTACAGTTGGGAATATTAAGACGTCCAGGTGGACACGTGCTAAGTGGTGGATCAGGATTTGAACCTGAGGCCATTCGTACCATGTTGGGGGCTGGAGGGTGGGAAAGTCACGTTGGAGCGGTCTTTGATTCTGGTCTGGCTTGTAGGTATAGGTATGATGTTGGAAATTCTCCAGGCCTTGAGGACAGAGTGGTTGGGACAGCTGGGGAGAAGGGACTGTTTCTCCTCACTCTTTTGGCTCTGTCATCCTTAGGGGCAGTTGGTTGGTTCCTTCTGGCAAATGTGTGTCTATGTGTGGAGCCTTTCTCCACAGCGTGCTGTCATCAGATATGCGTATTGAAAAGTTGCAACAAAAACAAAGGAAGAAGGGAAGAAGGAAACAATTTCTGGGTGGAATGAATGGAACTGGTAGAAATGGGCCATCTCCCCTCCCAGATGGGGGCAATTTTGCCACCACAGTGGCTTTGTAGTGGCTGAGTTCTCACAGCAATGGTGAAAGGTGTGGCAGGTGACTGGCTGTGCTTCACAAGGTCCCCCATAGAATGTCCCATCTCCTCACACAAACCCTCTCCCAGCTTTATCCCTCATGCAGGCTCTCTCATCAGGGGATGTTTATTTAGTGGCCCCTGCTGCTTTGAGCAACCCCTGCCCAGGGCACAGCTCATGGTATCTGTGTTCTCCCTGGTCTCTCCCTACCCCCCAAATCTCCCACTGGAGACAAGGGCACTGAAAGGACAGGTGGCGTGGGGGTGCTTCCCAACCCTCTGCCCTCAGCCTGCCAGTGGGTTCTGTCCAAATTGAAATGAGACCCACCACCCCACGGTCATGGATGAGGAGGGGGTGAGGAAGCACGTCTGTACGAGCCGACTGGGACATTGCAGATAATAAATGCAATAGTGTGTATTAGTCAGAGTCTAGTCAGAGAAAGATGCACACTGAAGCGTGTAATCTGAGGAGTTTAAAGGGGGGACCATTTAGAAAAGGCAGGTATAAGGAAACCAAAAGCAGAGAGTGAGTGTTACGGGATGAGCAACAGTAGGGAGCCGATACTCTGCTAGGCCTGAAGGGGCGAGGGGAGGAAGCAGTTCATGGCTCCTGGACAGAGACAGGGTTCCTGAGCTAGTTTGGTCAAGAGATACAGTGAGTTCACAATGAGCTTGACACCGCAGGGGAGTCCTAGGGGAATGAATACTTTAACCTCATTCTCCTCCATTCTCCCATTGACCAAACATAAACAGAAGCCAAGAGGCAAGGGAGCCTGATGATGCTAACCCAGGGCAAAAGGAAGCAGAGAAAAGTGAAGAAGTGGGTCCAGAGGGTCCAATGGAAGAAACCTGGCAATTAGAGTTTACCAGAAACATCTATGCAGTCATTGTCCTCACAACAACCCTGTGAGGTAGGCAGGGCAATCATTATGGTCCCATTTCATAGATGAGGACACTGAGGCTCATGTAAAACAACTTGCCCAAGGTAACAGGACTCATCTTGAGATGTCACAACCCTGTGACTTTAAGAGGTCCTCCCTGTGGGAGGAAACAGCTTTGCTGGGCATCTAGCCCCTAAAGAAAGCCAGCGTGTTGGAGATCGCTGGGGGACCAGGCACGGTGACCGTGGCCCTCAGAAGATATCCGTGCGGAGCGGGAGAGGCTGGTCCATGTCACTGATGAGGAGCTCAGGCTCTTGGGTGAGTGTGGAAGAGTCAGGCACCGCCGCCAAGGCCCCCACATTTCCCACAGGGACCTCCTCCCTCTCCTCCTGCTGCAGGTGCCTGAGAATCTCCTGTGACAGGGAGAAGCTGCTCTCCTCTTCGGGTTCTGGAACGGGGGTGGAGAAGGTGGTGGGGAGTGGAGTGAGAAACCCACACATTCCCACTCCAATACACCCCAGAGGATTTGCTGGGCAGATCCTTCAACCCACCTCGCTACGCCCCCTCTCCATCCCAGCCATTGTGGGTAGAGCTTCATGGAATCCCAGGGCTAGAAATGGCTTTAGAGACAGTGAAATTCTGCCCTCTTGCTTTTAGAGATGATGCTTAGAGAAGGGCAGAGACCTGCCCAAGATCATACAGCGAAGGAGTGGCAGAGCTGAGGTTCAACCCCTGTCAGTCTCTTAATTCCTGGCCTGGGGCCTAGGACATTTTGCTTCTTTTGACTGATGAAGTGAGGAGACCCAATAGCTCACCACTTTATGCTCCACCCAAGACCCATAGCCACAGACTTCAGAGCAACCAAGGTCCCCACCTGGGAAGGTGGACCTCTCTCATGGGAGGACGGGGCAGGGGTTGAATGCCCTGACCCCCCCGGAAGGCCCAGGGCATGATGCTTTCATATCTTCTTCTGCCCCCCTGGAAGACCCCGGGGTCCCCTGACTCCACCTGTCTCCCAGACTATCAATCCCTTACCCTCGTAGACAATGAAGCGCCAGTTGTTCTGACACTCAGGGGCATCTGCCAGGATGTCCTCAAGTGTCCGGCAGAAGAGCTTGGCCTGCTCAAGCCGATCTTCCCGACTGAAGCCAGCTCGGCTGTCCTGTGACATGGCAAACAGGGTCTGCAAGGGGGTGGCATACTCCAGAACGCAGGTGCCCACCTGGAGGAAATGAGAGGAGGACCAAACTAAACCCGGGCAGACAGACTCTGGACCCCAGTACCACTGCAAGGACCCCCCTCCCTCAGTCTGTAGAGATGGAGCCCTGGCAGGTGCTGCCCATATGGGGTTATGCTGTCCGGTTATCTTTTGCCTCTGGCATCCCACTCCTAAGATCAGGGCCGGGGCTGAGCTAAATTTACCCTTCACTGATGCTCCCCCTAGGATCCCAGGGCAAGCCCACCCAGCTAGGCTGTCAACTGCTCCAGTTTGAGATCAAGTCTGACAGCTAGGCTCCGGGGTTCGACTGTGGTCTGGGTCTCCCCACCCACCCGTGTGAAACCCACCAGATGTTCTCACAGCCTTCATGTAGGGCAGCTTTATGGCCAAAAGCATGGTGCCCTAGCCGGTTCGGCTCAGTGGATAGAGCATTGGCCCTAGGACTGAGGGGCTGTAGGTTCAATTCCAGTCAAGGGCATGTACTTCAGTTGCAGGCTTGATTCCCTGGCCCTGGTTGGGGCAATAGGGAGACAACCAACTGATGTGTCTCACATGGATGTTTTTCCTTCTCTGACTCTCCCCCTTCCTTTCACTTTCTTTAAAAAAATCCATGGAAAATATCCTCGGTTGAGGATTAACAACAACAAAATAGGTGGGGTTTTTTTTTTGTTGTTTTTTTTTAAGCATCGTATACTCAAGTTGAAATTGTCCGCTTTCTCCCTGGTTCTCTGGGTCCGTTTCGTCATCTGTAGAATAGGGGTTGTGACAGTCCCTACCCCACAGGGTGGTGTGAGGATTCGTTGAGGTGGTAGATAAGCATCTAGAATAGCATCTGGCATGCAAGAGTGTTCAGTAAATGTTACGCATTATCCTCGTTCAGTGTTGAATCTTGTCCAGCCCTGGGACTCACTGGGGAAACTGAGGCTCAGAGGAGGACAGTAAATTTTTACCAGTGGTTGGCCAGGGCCCGGAGTTCTGGGGCTCCTCACCACCACCCTGTGGTACATGCCCCACCTTCCGGCACACTCACCTGCCTCCCGTTCTCCAGAAGCTCATAGACGCTGTTGGTGTAAATCCGGTCCTTGATGCCGGCACGGTCAGAGAGTTGCGGGGGCAGCTTATGCAGGAAGCGAATGTTGGGGTCAACCACACTCAGGTCGTCAGGCACCCCACAGTCCAGTGGGAAGAGGATGTATAGCCGATGGCTTCCTGTGCCTCGGAGCGTATTGTTGTGGAGCTGATTGTAACTACGGATCCGGGCCGGAAGCCCTGCGGTAGAGAGGCCCAAGAAGTCATTCCCACTGGCCTGGTCTCCCTCTGGATCATTGGTCCCCCTCGATGTGCACATGCAAAGAACCGAGGGGCCAGTCCCCTAGTACTGTCTAGGAGGCCAGGAATAGCACATCCAAGAACACTTTCCTCCCCTCCACCTCCTCCCACCACTGCTTTCCCCCTTCATTGTTCTTTATCCAGATTTCTGCCAGCCCCACTCCTTCCCACCACAGCCTTCAGGCCTTTGAGGGGCAGGCAGAGGCAAGGTGACACTGTCAGCACCCGCAGGCGCACTGAGTCTGGCCTTTAGCATGAGCCATTTCCTAGCAGAAGCCCTGGTGCTGAGGGAAGGCAGCAACAAGACCTGGGAGAACTGCAGCCTTGGTTGGCCACTCAGAAGAATGACACATAACACATACATTCACAGTAGGGTCAAAGGTTCAAGCCCTGGGCAGACCTGGATTCAAATATTGTCTCCTCTCACTAAGCTGCGTGACTTGGGATACGTCACTTTGTTTCTCAGAACCACAATTTTCTTTTTCTTTTCTTTTTTTATAATATATATTTTATTGATTTTTTTTACAGACGAAGAGAGTGGGATAGAGAGCTAGAAACATCAATGAAAGAGAAACATTGATCAGGTGCCTCTTGCACACCCCCTACTGGGGATGAACCCACAACCAAGGTACATGCCCTTGACCGGAATCGAACCTAGGAACCTTCAGTCTGCAGGCCGACGCTCCATTCACCGAGTCAAACCGGTTAGGGCAATTTTCTTATCTTTTAAGCAGGAAGATGATTATATCTTCCTCATAGGTTGTGAATTAAAAGAGAAAATGCACACGAAAGGCACACGGCATGCAATGAATAGTTAGTGAAAGAATTCAGAGGTGACCTTGGACAAGTCACTTAATATTTCTTCCTCTAAACCAGGCATAACAACATTCTTCATGCTTAGAGGCTTGTTTTGGGAATCAAATGTTGGACATGAAAATACTTGGAAAAAATATGACAAGTTGTGGAAATGTTGTGTCTTATGGTTTGTGTGTCTTATAGATCTAGAATGGGGACATAGAGGACAGCCTACCTGGTAGGACCAGTCGCAGGTACCCGATATAAAATGACCATGCCAGCCCATGGGCCACGTTGAAGTTTCTTTGTTCACAGACTGTAGAGACCTCAGCTGGGGCCAGCCCCTGTGGACAGAAGAGTGGGGTGGGGAGAGGGGGGAGACCTTCCTGAAGGATAACTAGAACCCTCCTCCTCCAAGATTTCTCAGCCTGCTGCTGCTTTTCTGCCATTGCTCACCCCACTGTTCCAGGACATTATAAGTTCCCCTCCAAAAACCAGCCTCTAAACTAGTCTCACTCCTTGTACTGAACTCAGAGCAGGTCACACTAGCCACAGCCTCCTCTGAACCATGCCCTCCTCTTCCCACTGCGTCTTACCTGGAGGTCCAGGAGGATGCTCAGTGCCTCTGAGAGGCCCAGGAGGGAAAGCATCCAAGCTTTGTTTGGCAGGGAGGTGTAGAAATAGCAGGACACCAGCAGGAGGGCCCCATAGCGGATAGGGCAGCCCAGACAGGCCTGCACAGCCCTGGAGTAGCTGCCCTGGTACCTGCAGATGACAGCTCAGCTAGAGAGATTCAAGGAGGGGCAGGGATGGGGGTCCAGGGAGTGAGGCATGGTGTGTGCCCAGTCCCATGGGGGCCGCAGGGCGTCACCTGGAATGGACGTGGCAGAGTTCCTCGGCCAGGCTGCAGGCTCGCTTGAACAGCAGTTGCAGCTGCTGGGAGATCAGGTGGAGCGCCAGCCACCAGAGAATGTGTGTTGGCGGCTCCTCCAAGCCCCAAAAGGCTGCCAGACAGGCAATCAGCAGGGCAAAGGCTGCCTTCTTGGCCTTGTGACTCCTGGGCCGAGGGATGGAGGGGTGCAAGCCAGAGTGGGGCATCTGTAGGTACCAAGAAATGCATGGCCATGCTCCTCTCACTCTCCTGTCATTCCAGCTCTCCCCTTCTCAAACCACCCCCCCACACCATGCCCAGCCATATCCAGGGGCTGCTTTTGGAGATACCTCTGGGGGACAGGCTGAGCATACAGCATCCCAGAGTTCCAGTCCAGGGGGGATTTGTTGCAAACAGAACAGGTGGAAAAGAGCATGGGTTTATATACACACATCCCATCCAACCCCGGGGAGACTGCGGGGCAGTGAGGAAAGAAGGCAGCAACTCTCCCAGACCCAGCCCTTTGGGGATCTGGGCTTTCCTCTCCCCAGGAAGGATATTAGCCAGAAAGGACCCCCAGGGGCCTCAGCCGTGGAGCGTTGGCTGGGCCGCTCCTGATCCTACCTTCCGCCGCCAGGCACAAAGCTGTTTCTGGGAGACAACGGGAAGAGAAGGAGGCTCAGCAATAGCTCCCAGGGACTGAAAGCAGCCTGAGGATGGAAAGTTTAAGACAATCGGAAGCTTTCTCTACAGCACTCCAGCCCTGACATCTCAGACCGCAGCTCCGAGTACTTTGGAGAGGAGGGTATTTCCCGCCCCCAAGCTCTAATGAGTCACACCCTATCCTGGAGAGTGCCGTAAGCTCCCATTCCTGCAGTTTGCTACCCCAGAGTCCAGGGTGTTCAGAGATTCTCTGACACTCCCCTGAACCACAATCTGAACACCAGATTCCCCTCAAGCCCCCACAATTAAACAAACTCTACCAACACCTACGCTGGACTCCGCACACCCAGCCCACGCTACACCATGCTCCCTGCCTGACTGCTTGTTTTCTGCTTTCTGGACGAGATCCTCTTTTTCTGAAGACTGTGATATGGAGGAGGGAGGGAGGAAGGCGGGGAAAACGCACAGTTATTTCCTGTAATAACAGCCTTTCAGAGTAAAGGGCTTGGTAGGAGCAGAAAGCCAGCACGGGAGGGTAAGGTTTGGGCTCTTTACAGGAAGTGGCCACGCCTGAGACTTCTCAGAGAAATTGTGCTGGTTGCAGCCAAAAAAAAAAAAAAGGCAGCCTCATGCATATTAATAATATAGTATGTGTATATTTACTAATGTGTTGTGTATATTTACTAATATTCGCTTAATCCAGTCAGCCACCCTGTCAGTGAGGTATAATACGGTTCCCGATTACAGGTGGGTAACCTGAGGCTTAATGAGGTGAGTTAATGTTCCCAGGCCCACAGACAGCAGACGAGGGAGGCAGGACCGGAAGCCAGGTGGGCTGCTCCAAAAGGCGCCTTGCTCTGTGCCTGATTTCCTGGGAAAAGTGCAAAGTGACAAGATCCTGTTTCATGCTTATATGGAATAGGAAGTGTCTCTGGCCACTTCCTGGAAACCTGATAAGCTGATCTGGCTTGAGGATGGGCAGGTCCGGAAAGTGGGATTAGAGTGCCAACCACAGAGCGGCAGCAATTCATTTCTGCCCTGGCCAGAGGGTCCTTGCCTTGGCCCACCCCACATCACAACCAGACTCAGGACACAGCACATTCATGGATGCAGGGGCCTCCCAGGAGCAACGAAGCTTCCCGAAAACTCTCTTGGTTTTGAAAACCATTTCCTAAGTATGGAGGTAAATCCCTACAGAGTCTCTCCCCTAAAATTGGCTCACAAAGGGGTCCACTGACACGGACAAGGTCTCAGTTGTCTCAAACCAAAGAAAGTCAACCTTGCCCAAGAGGCGGCCTGAGCAGAGTCCGGCAGGAGTGCGCCCCCAGGCCCAGCAGAGCCAAGCAGCCTCCGGCCTCCAGGATCGTGCCTGCTGTCTAGCACCAACTCCTCTAGGTGGCACTGCTGCTGCCAACTCCACGCCAGTCGTCGTTTCCTCTGAAACCTGCTTTTCCTTCAAAACCTGTTCTCCCCTTCCTCCTAGAGGAAGTCCCTTTATTTTCTAGGCCAGGTTGTCACTATGCTTCAGAAGGGGCAAGTGTGGAGGGAGGTGGGGAAGATACTGGTGTAGAACACTGTGGAAGAGCAGCTCCTATAGAGGCCCTGGGGTGGTGAGAAGGAACTTGGCCTGTGGAGGAGCAGAGAAATGGGTGGTATGGCTGGGGCATGTAAGCATGTTGGGGGCCCGTGTTGGTTTCATAGGGCTACTGTAACGAAGTGCCATAAATATGGAGGCTTTCAACAATGGAAGTTTATTCTCTCATCGTTCTGGAGGCCAGGAGTCTGAAATCAAGGTGTTGGCAGGGCCCTGCTTCCTTGGGGGCCTCTATGTGAGGCCCTCTCCTTGCCTCTTTCAGCTTCTGGTAGCCCCAGGCGTTCCTTGGTTTGCAGACACAGCACTCCAGTCTCTATCTCCACCACAGGATGTTCTCCAACTCTGTCTTCACGGTGTTTACTCTTCTCATTAGCATATCAGTCATATTGGATTGGGGCCTACCTTAATGACTTCATCTTTTTTTAAAATTAAATATATTTTATTGATTTTTTACAGAGAGGAAGAGAGAGGGACAGAGAGTTAGAAATATCAATGAGAGAGAATCATCGATCAGCTGCCTCTTGCACACCTCCCACTGGGGATGTGCCTGCAACCAAGGTACATGCCCTTGACCGGAATTGAACCTGGGACCTTTCAGTCCGCAGGCCAATGCTCTATTCTATGAGCCAAATCGGCTTCAGCCCAACATATCTCTTTAAGGGACACAATTCAACTTATGACAAGTTCAGTGGTATAAGAAGGGGTCCTGAGAGTGGGTCAGAGCCCCACGCTGTGACCAATGCCTCAGATCCTGGAGAGCATCGAGACAGTTGCGTGCATGGGATTGTCCTCAACACCCAGACAGACCAGCTCTTCCGGACAGCTGAGGAGGAAGCTAAGGGCCACAGAGGGAAGTTAGGTCCGAGTCCCATGCTGCTGAGTGTCACTGCGTGATAGTTGCTTCATCCCTCCAGATACCTGGAAGTGCTGATCTGGGTCAACTCTCATTTCTGCATCTGGCTCCGTTACAGCTTCCATCCTCATGCTCCGTGTGCCTGGGAGAGGAATAAACCTCTAAGCACTAGGTCAGCAGATGCTGGGCCTAGGACAGATTGTGTGTGAGGGAGGGAGGCCTGTGGCCTCCAAGGAGGCACCCTTTTGCCTACACAACCTCTTTCATGTTTAAAGGTTCCTGAAATTAATCTGCAAAGGTCCCTGAGATCTGTTAGGTCAAGGGACATTGGGAGAATTTTAATATCGTTGACTGTGGTTCACCTAAGATCCAATTTGACCTTCGCCCAGTTATTTAACTTCTCTGAGCCTCAGTTTCCTCATCCCTAAACTAGGCATGGCAATAACTTTTATCTCAGAAGATTGTCATGAGGATGGAAAGAACTAATGTCATTGTAGGCCTGATTTCTTGTAAATGCTCAGTTACTGTTAACTGTAATCACCACCACCACAACCATCATCATCCTCACCTTTAACAATCACTCCTGGATTTGCTAGCCATTGTCACGTTGACTTCTACCGTGGGCTCCAGTCATCTTTGCAGCAGGCACAGATATTTGATGTCTCATCCGTCAGTGGCTCTGAGTCTGACCCTAGCCACCTCCTTGTGATAATGTCATTGCACCATCATGGAGTCAACTGGTGTGTCCTGGTCTTTCCTGGACAGGATGATGTCTTAGTAGATGTGATAGAGAAAAGGGTCTTAATGATGCATGGCTGGGGGTGAAGAAGCACATCTGGCTTAGCTACTACAGCTTCAGGGAGTAACTAAGAAACCCACCTATTCCTGGAAAGAGATCTTCAGCAGGGTGGAGTTGTTTTTTTTTGTTTGTTTTTGGTAACAGCTTCACATACCATACAACTCACTTATTTAAAATGCACAATTAATTGGCTTTTAGTATATGTACACAGTTGTGCACTATCACCACTATCAACTTTAGAACATTTTTACCACCCCCCAAAAAACCCTGTAGCCATCACATCTCAACCACCCTCACCCACCCCCACCTCCAAGCAACTACCAATCTGCTTTCTTTTTCTATAGATATGCCTATTCTGGGCATTCATATAATGGAATCATGGACTATGTGATTGGTTCTGTCTTCTTATCATATTATGACAAAATGACAGTACATGGTGAGCAACCACAAAAATGATAATGTAGCACTGGATTTACTGATAAGGACATTATATATAGTACACTAGAGGCCCAGTGCACAAAAGTCATGCAATGGTAAGGACCCTAGTGCCTGTCAGCTGGATGCTCCCTCCCTTCCCTAGGCCAGCCTGTCCCCTGGTCGAACTCCCAAAGAACTCTGGGTCGAGGGAACAATTTGCATATTACACTTATATTATATAGGATTTTTAAAAAAATATATTTTATTGATTTTACACAGAGAGGAATTGAGAGGGACAGAGAGTTAGAAACGTGGATGAGAGAGAAACATTGACCAGCTGCCTCTTGCACACCCCTCACAGGGGATGTGCCCACAACCAAGGTACATGCCTTTGACCGGAATCGAATCCGGGACCTTTCAGTCCACAGGCCGATGTTCTATCCACTGAGCCAAACCGGTTTCGGCATTATATAGGATTTTTAAGTCACAGTAATAGTTACAAAGTAGTACATATTAAAAACTCTGGTACTTCTATTCAAGGAAATACTCTGCAGCTCTTTATTTCTTTCTTTAAATATATTTTTATTGATGTTAGAGAGAGAGGAAGAAAGAAAGATAGAGAGATAGAAACACCAATGAGAGAGAAACATTGATCAGCTGCCCCTAGTCAAACATACCCCACTGGGGATCGAGCCTGCAACCTGGGCATGTGCCCTGACAGGTAATTGACCCAGGACCTCTTGGTCCATGGGATGATGCTCAATCCACTGAGCAGCACCAGCCAGGCAGGAGACTCACTTTTAACTGCATTTTTTTTTTTTTTGGTGCTTCTGTACCTTTCAAGTTTTATATTGTGCACATGATCACCTATTTGAAAATAAATAAAATAGAAATAAACCACAATATGTGTATTATGTGATACCATTTTTATTTTCTAAAGTAGATGTATATTTGCATGAGAAAAATTCTGATTGTAAAAATAACAAATAGTCATAATGATTATTTTGGAAGGGGTTATAGGATCTCTGTAGGTTTAAAAAGATATCCATAAATTCTTTGATACTCTTTCCTTCAAGAGCGTAGGTCTAATCCTATATAATAAAAGGCTAACATGCAAATTGTCCCTTTGACCAGGAGTTTGACCAAGGGGCAGGGCCAGCCATTCAACCACCCTCGGCCCCTCCCCCTTGGCCAGCCTGTCCTGATTGGCCTGATCAGGGCAGGCTGGCCGGACCCCACCTATGCACAAATTCATGCACGGGGCCTCTAGTTAGATCATAAAAGGCTTTGTGGCTTCTTTCTTGATCTCTTTCTTGGATCACGTGCTCAGGGGACAGTCATCTGCCATGCCACAGACACTCAAGCAGCTACTGAGAGGCCCAAGAGCTACAAGGCAATCAGGGACATTTTGCCAGGTGTGAAAATCAGACACTTTGGATATGAAACCCAGCCCCCGTCAAGCCTTCAGACGATCGCATCTCTGGCTGACACCCTGATTACAGCCTCATGAGAAACCCAGTTCAGCCACTCCCAATTCCTGAATCTGAGAAACTCTGAGAGAATAAATGCTTGTTGTTTGAAGCTACAAAGCTTTGGGGTAATTGTTGCACAGCAATAAATACAATAATACAAGGTAATTTTAGGATTTTACTTTGTTTATTATATTTATACATTTTTATTATAATTAATGCATATTCTTTGGGAAATTCAAACCGAGAAAAAAAGAGAATGAGCAAGAGAGCAATGGGAATACAGTTCCATCTGACTTTCATTCACTCAGCTGTGTATTCCTTAGATAGGGGCACTTTGGCCTCTTAGCAGATTGAGTGAAGAATTCTTGCCGAAGCCGGTTTGGCTCAGTGGTAGAGCGTCGATCTGCAGACTGAAAGGTCCCGGGTTCGATTCCGATAAAGGGCATGTACGTTGGTTGTGGGCACATCCCCGGTGGGGGTGTGCAGGAGGGGGCTGGTCGATGTTTCTCTC